ATATATATATATATATAATCACATCTCGCCTTCTCTTCTCACACAAATATCAGTATTTGACAAAGAACACTTAGCGCTGCTCACGGACGGTCTTTGTAAAGGCGACAGCTGTATGCTCCCATGATAGACGCTTCTCACACAAATATCAGTATTTGACAAAGAACACTTAGCGCTGCTCACGGACGGTCTTTGTAAAGGCGACAGCTGTATGCATAACTCCCATGATCTCATTTTAACAACATTTCCACCGCTCACACAGGAGATCAAGTTATCGTCTTTCGTATTTCTTAATGTGACCAGTTGGATTTATTTTTGAATCACAATAGTTGGTACATAGACGCAAATTAACCTCAAGTGGTAAAAAGCAGCTAGGAAGCACAACAAGAAAAATCTATCGAAAGAAATTACTAGCCTGATTCGGTAACCTTCAAAGCTTGTAATAAATAACAGCTTCACAGGATCGCAGACTAACTTGACCAAACCCAAATGAAGTAGTTTACCAGATACATGCTGAAATCCCTCTAGAGACATGCAAGTCATACTCGTATGCTTTCAATAGTGGATGACGTCGATAATTTTTTCTGTAAACCACGTATTTTCTTTTTATTTACCTGACATCGTTTATCAAAGTTTTTCCATGCTGTCTGACTAGAGGAGTTGATAAGGGGTCACCGGAAGATTGCGAAATTCCTTTACGGAAGAAGTTGATTTGAAGACACCGACGCAAATCCCCTGATTATCTTGTAGTCGAAGCGATTCCCTCGCGCCACCGTTCGAAGAAGACATTTATCCAACAAGGGTAACTACTTTATATCCAAAAGAATGTCTTTACACTCACCTGTTCAGTCCAACTGACATTTCTGTATGCTATTGGTCTGAGGTGCTTGAAACGGTGGTCAGGATACCTCGGAAAACTTGAGTTACTTTATCTTTGTTTGGGCAGTTAATTAGTAGACCGATAGCCTTAGTACATTTTCCAGGGTTTCCCTTTCGTTTCATCCTGAAAAATCGGTATGCCCCGCAAGTACATTGTCAGTTGTGCACCGGCTACATATAGTCAGAAATGTCAAACTGTTAGATACCATCATTAATTTAAGATTCTGTGCGCCGAGTAGAGCTTGCAGGTTGTTGGATGGTTAGTCGCAGCTCCATTAGTTACATTTATTCAGGAGAATAAAAAACTGCGGAGTGAAACAACGGTGTCAACTACTTTAGTGTTTGAAATCGCTTCCAGCGCTTTCTTGATCGTTGAGCCACTCTTTTGTCAGTTTTGAGTTGAATGGAATTTACCACTTCTTTCCCTTGACGCGCACCCGATCTTGTTTCTAGTCTGAGTGGTCCATAATATTATACTACGTTTTTTACATTGTGAATGCACTCTTGCAATTTTTAAACCTTCTAGTTCTGGCCACTCTTTCTTCTCACTTCACAGATCAACCTTTCACACCACTGCCGAAACCAATTGATAATTTGTCCAAGGTATACTCCGCAAAAAGTGGAATTAAAGGACTTGGTTGAGGTGAGTGAAATGTCAACACTATTTTTTTCAGTTTACACAGTGAATTTCAGCAGTTTGGTTAAAGGGCAGGACAACCCCTTATCGTGTTCAGTCTTTGGTCATTTGAAGAACAAATCCGAATTTTTCCAGGAACAAGTGATTCTCATGACAAGCCAGATAGCTGTATAAAAAAATTATTGGATGACTTGTAAATGGAGGGTTTCCTGGATTTGAGATTGTCCATTATTCTGATAGGCCAACGAATTCCCCATTGTTTCATTGGTATGGATATTTTTCCATATAGCCAAACTGCTCTTTAATACCGTAGTGAAACGAGAAGATTTTGAAGTTTATGATAAATGAGCCAGTAACCTTTACTGACACCTAAGCATCACACTGTGATTTTCTGAAAAAAAAGATGGAAATTCCACTAGCTTGTAAAGTGACCCTGGCGACTGGTCATACTTTGGGGTCCTCGTGTTAGCTGCCGGAAAAACTGCTGCCTTTGTCAGCCCCGAAGAGAGTTGGAGGGAAGAGACCGCTCGGTCGCGCGCTGATGAGGCTTTTTCGATTGACGACAAGACGTTAACGGGCTGATTGTTAAACCTACCAGGTAGAGCAGTAACCACCCGATCGACTAATAGCAGCTTATTCATGTTTTCCCCATCAGAAACAATCCATAGTGTGTGAGTTTTAGCTGAACTTGTAATGGGTGCTCAATGGCAAGTTGCTAGCATTGAGCGAGTACTGTCCAACAAAATACACACTTGTTTGGTTGATTGGTAAATTTTATTGAATCCCTGTAGTCACTGAAGGGTGTTATCTATTCGCAGTTGAAGGCCTCTGTTCAGATAATAAATCAGATAGTATAGCTTTCCCTTGCTTGTGACTGTAAGTTTCTTGATTAAAAGAAATTACAAAGGACGTCAGCTTGTAGTTGTAGGTGACAAAAACACCTGTCTTTGGTTTACGTCAAAGTAAATAAGATGTGCATTTCAGTGGAATGTTCTCGTTTTCGGTAAGGTAGACGGGTATAGTGAATGAACAATCGTGTCTTTGGATTCTTCTGGGAACTGGTAATGTGAACAAGAGTTTGGCCTCATACACTACTCATGAGGATGCCGAAAACTGATCGACAGCTCACGACCGGTTTTGCGCTTGCTGAAGCTCAACGTGTAGGAGCAGTCCCCGAAATTACATCAACCTTATGATCTACTTGAACCTAGATTGCACACAGTCGGTAAAATACAATACAATACAATTCCAATACGGTTTTGAAGGGAGAGTCACCTGGAACGCAGTTGAATCTCTCGTTTACGGTGTTTTTAACTGAAACGAGCTTTTTGTCGGTATTCACATATGCGATAAAAGGATAAAGAGTTGAACTGATTTCTCATCTGGTAGCTTTCACGAATGAAGAAAGTTTGAAGTCCGAATGTTTATTTGCGTAACTGAACTTTGGTAGAAATTAAAGAATACGGTGTCCAAGCTAATCACTTGCAATTACTTACAAATTCGGTTAACGTTTGGTTGCATTCAGCCAAGCTACGTCAAAGCTATCGAGTCCTGGAACAAAGCGATGTGCGCGATGTGCGCGATGTGCATATTTAGCCTATTCAGAATATGCGAGATTCGCCGGTTGGTCTCGCTATCAGCTGATGCCTTCAGTCATCATGATGTTTGGTGCTATGATGTTCAGTGTAGATGTACAATAAATCTGTTTTCTCAAACCTTCAGCTGCTGCTGGGAGTATCAGTTCATGAAAATTCAGGCAGTGAAAATCACTGTTGACAGATATTAATACCCAACTCAGACCTTCAAACTGCGACAGTTCACTGAGACCCATGCTTAGCTATCTATTCTGAACGGATTATCGTTCATCAGATCGGACTGCTTACGTGCATGTCAAGTGTAAACATGTGCTCACGTTCATATGCCAGATCATCATCATCATCATCATCATCATCATAGTGAAGAGAAGAGAAAAAGAGTGGGTGAGGGAGGGGACCTAGTGCTGGCCTATGTCAAGCATACTGAGGTGCATACACCTCCAAACGCTCAATCAGACAATCTGGAAAGAAACTGACAGCAAGAACGCCACTGACATCGATTTCTTGCAACGTCTCCAGCCAAGCACAGACGGGGTCACGGGGACCCCATCCTGGAAGTCTCACAACACCAACAACACCCAAATTCTTCGTGATCTATTTCACGCCTTTCTGTTAAGTCATGTGCTGTCCACCTCATGGTTTGCGCCATCCTGAAGGAGGCACGGAGAACAACACTCGTCTCGGTAGACAGTGTTTCGGCATGCGTGGCACATGACCGAGCCACCGTAGTCAATGATGTTGGAGGTTTTACTCTAATTGAGGTACCTACATCACAGCAAAATATCCGTTTTCTAATCACCTCTTTACTAGCACGCTGACGCCATCCACAACCAGCCACGCTGCTGAGGCATTGGTGGTCGAAAACCTGAAGACGCTTCACATCATCTGTCCGCAGAGGCCATGTCTCGCACCCATACAACAACACAGCCCTTACTGTAGCCTGGTACACACGACCCTTAAGATCCAGTGAGATGCTGTTTGACGCCACAGGTGAAGCTAATTAGGAAACGTGATTCGAGCCTTTGAGATTCTTGCACTGACTTCATCAGACACACTTCCGTCAGAGCTGATACAGCTACCGAGGTAGGTAAAGTGGTGCTCCTTGAATTGTTCGCAGATAGCACGTTCTGAAGCAGGATTTTGCAATTTGAAGGTGCGAGGCGCATTCGAATAAAACGTTATGTTGTTGGTCATTTTGTTCAACAGGGCTTGTGCTTCGCTATGGTCTTCAAAGATGAGGGCGATGTCATCTGCGTACTCCAGATCGATAAGGCTCTCACCAGCAACAGTTTTAACGCCAGGGTTTTGAAGACCGTCCCGTATTCACCTCATTATTTCATCGATGACGAAGTTTGACAAAAATGGAGAGAGTGGACATCCTTGTCTGACATCACTTTTTGTAGGGAAGCTTTTGGAGAGTTCACCATGCACCCTCACCCGCCCAGAAGTGTGTGAATATAGAGATTGGATTATGTTTACAAACTTCTGAGGAATACCCTGTTGAGCAAGTGTAGTTAACAGCACTGATCGATCAACAGAATCGAACACACCCTTGAAGTCAAGGAATACCAGGATAGCGGGTCGTCTGTACATGTGGCGCTGCCCTAAAACATGACAGAATGTGAAGATGTGGTCAACGCAGCCTCTACCCGGTCGAAATCCCGCTTGATTCTCACAAGTCAAGACTTCGCGCGCCGCCATGAGACGGCGAAGAATCAGTGACGCCAGAAGGCTTGTTACAACAGGCGTAAAACCTCTGTGGGCACCAATATCGATTCACCCCAGTTGTCTGGGACGGTCTCCTTCTCCCAGATAGACTCAAATGGGCTAGACAGGCACTGGCTGAGGAATCCACCGCCATCACAATTCTAATTTCTGCTCACCGTGGCAGCCGATGCTTCAAAATTTGTATTTGGTGTGACACTGTTGCATCAGTGCTCCAGAAATGGTTGTTTGCCGCATATCTCAGTTGCACTCGTTCCTGGCGAAGGTCTATAGAACTACAGAAAACGAGGCATTAGCTGCCATATTCACTATGAAGAAATACCAGGGCATACCTCACGGCACACACTTTGTCCTTTACACGCATCACAAAACTTTGCTGGGTTATGATTCTGGTATAACTTACAAATCAACGCTACCCTTTTGCCATACCGATGCACTACCGCGTCTAATATGTCAAAAAATATCAACAGGGAAGACAAAGACACCGTGATCGCATCAGTTCCAACCGATTGCGAAATCCACCAACACTTTTCGAATCTGTTCGCTATCTTGCTGTACCTCTTCAGACAATGTGGTGAAGTATTAAAGAGTGGCTCTAGGCTGCAGGCATTTTGTAAACCTGTGAAATAGAAGTAAATCTTAATTCTTTGATACCACACAAACATCGGCATAGCTTACTGAATTCGCTCCACCAAAGCCATCCAGAAATTATTCATATGGAAACCGTTGCTAAAATTGATTCATACTGGTCTTCGATTTACGCAAGTTTTGGGGAATTTTTCCTTGCCTGTAGATAGCGTTCCTTGGTGGCCTAATTTGTAGTGGTCTCAATAGTTTTCTTTATTATAGACTATAATTTTTTGCTGGTTCGGTGAGGGAATACATGTTCCTGATCGTTGTCCATAATTTCTCAAAGTGGCCAGAGGTGTCTATGATAAACTGGTCTTTGACTACACGACCGATATCAATCCTTGGCTTACGGATTGTACATTCTGCAATTCCGTAGCTTCCCTTGACAGATAAAGAATCTCATTTAACAGAGCACGCATTTGCTCAGCTCTTGGCTTCTCAAGGAACTCCAAATTTACCTTCCCATCATCATTTCAAAGTGTCTTGTCGATATCCCTAAACAGGATTACTAAAATGGGAGGCGAAAAGAGCATCAAGAAAAACATGCAAAACTTTCTTCAGCCATACCGAGAGCGACCCGATAACTTGTTTCCAATCAGCAGTCTCCGGACGAATGTTTCTTGGCTTGCACAAGCGTTTACCACCGGACATAAGGTTGCGCACACCGTAATCCTAGAGGAAGCTGACACACACACACACAGAGAGAGAGAGAGACAACATGCAACGTTGCGCTCTCGATCGAGACTGTACTGACCAAATCGTTAGGTCAGAAAACGTTGTCCCCATCACTCCAGATGTCACATTCCTTACGGTCCAGGTCATATTTCAAGAGACTTATCATCGGCCTTCCCTTTAAATCATACGGTGGATACCTAAACTTTCTGGGGAATTTCTTTAGGGAAAAAGGTGTGCGGTGTCCCTGTCTCGAATTGGCCTGTGATGCTGTTTTACCTATTATTGGTCGCTGATGCTACCAGGGCATATTCTATCCAGTAATCGATTCTTTCACACCAACTGTTTTGGTGTACCGTGTGTTTAGAGTAAAACAGGCCAGAAACACCGTATCCGGGTTGTATTTTTTAGACTAATTGGGTAAGAGATCTGTTCCTATATAGGGTTAACTGAAATGATACATAATTTGCGGGTAGAAGATCACGTTCCTAAATACATCGTGAACGCTTCGAAGTAATGCAGCAACCATCATTATAGGTGTAAGCGGAATCCCGCTTTTTCCAATCTCATCAACTGCAGCCAGATTTGCACCTCATCAGTCTTGAAACAAGTGAGTCCTCACAAGACGACCCATCTTACCATTCGGGCCAGAATAAGATCAACAAACTACTTAGAAATGTCCATGTGACACAGCTGTATAACTTTTGTCATCCAGTTAAACGCTGAATTATGAATTTCTGATAGCGATTTGTACTTTTGTTCACTAGTCACGTATATGACAACAAGAGATGAGTAAAGCAGTACGTATGTTTCCAGTCCGTGAATGATACTGGTATGGAATTTCTCCTATCCAGCGTCTCAAATATATTGGAGAACGACTTTTATTCTCCCCTCAGTTGTTTGCTTCGCGGCTGCTGACTCATTTATGATGCACCGTTTTGTGAGTAGTGATCGTACACATCTAAAGATTTTCGTATGCCAATAAATAGGGTAGGATACATAAAGGACAATAAAATGCAGATATTTTTCAATTATCAATATTTGTGTTGGTTTCATTCAAAGTTACACTACGTCTGCTGTTCACTATTTCCCTGACAACCTGCCTTTGGTGAATTTGGTCAGTGTTTCAGCTGGTGATTTCTCCCTTGCATATCAACAACGTTTGCGTGGCCACGAGTGCGCAGATAGAATGCGATTCCGGAATATTCTACTGAGTATTGGGCACCCTTGTTTGTTCAGGTGTACAGTCGTGCATTCCGTGTTGATTTATCGGTTGCCAGTTACGCCCCACTGATAACCCAAGGTTTGACTCCACCAAACTCTTCCCTATTTGTTATCATCTTGCGCCATTTTGACATCATAGGTGTTTCCCCATATGTGTCATGAATAGGATTACCATGCCTTGCCAACCAGTGCACATTGGATTCCAGTGAAAACCCACAGAAATGCCAAATTAGTTCTGTTAGGCGGTCTCCCTTAAGAGGCGGGATAACATCCTTAGGTTTTCCAAAATAATGCTTATCAGTGAGGAATTAGCTGCCTGGAAATATATTCCACATCCAGACTGAAACTCGACTTGCGAGATAATAAAATATGGGATTCATTATAATAAGGCACTTATTCAAACAGTTTTGTACGTCGGCCGTAAAACACAGTCATTCATCAAACCAAAAAGAAGAACTGACAGTCATTTAAAACTGATTTCGCCTGTCCTTCTGAATTAAAGCTCCTCCAATCTAACCACTGGACCAGAGGAGAATTAGGCGATAAAGCCGCAGAGTTGTGATATTGCATCATCATCATCATCAACGACAGCATGACATCAGTGCTCAACACCAATGCTTCACTGCCATACAGCCATGACTTATTTGAAAGCCTTATTGTAAAGAAAAGAATAAAGGTGGATGGGGGAGGGACTTAGTGCCAGCTTAACACAATCATTCCGAGGTGCCTACACCTCCAGAAATTCACTCAGGCAATCTGGACAGAAACTGACAACAAGAACGCCCCTGACATCGGTTGGCAGCCATATCTTGTAGTGTCTCCAACCAGGCACAGTGAGGATCACGCGGTCCCCATCCTGGAAGGCGAGTAGCACCGACAGCAAAGAAATTTCGTAATTTCTTTCATACCACTCTGCTAGATCAAGGGTAGACCAGCTATGTGCTTCCGCCGCTTTGAGTTGGGCATGGGAAACATTACTGTCTTCGGAAAATGGTGGTTCGGCACATACAACGCATGTCTCAACCAACGAACCTTCTGGTGTTGGACACATTTTTCGATGGATGTGCCCGTTGCACAACCGGAACGCTGCTTTTCATAGCCTAGGTACGGATTCGCCGACACCACCTCACACGAACTAAGGTTCCAAGACAAGTTGTTGAACACCTGAGTACATCTCAGTTCTGCCGCTCGAATAGGCCAAGTCTCACAGCCATACAACAAAACAACCCTCACGGTAGCTTTATACACACGTCCCTTGAGATTCATCGATACATCACTTTGACGCCATAGATGTTGGAGTACTGCTTGGAATAACTAAAAATCTATATTACCATCTTTAGTTGCAGCAGAAGGTCGCGTGCATATTTTTACGTACGTATTGATTCCATGGAACGCTTATGCAAGGCAGAGTTTTCATTAACCAATCAATTTTGGTCAGGCGTCTTTAACGAAAACCTAAACAGTAGTTAAAAGCACAGTAACTTTTTGCTTGAAATATTGGTAATAATGTACAGCATCTCCGGACTTTCCCTTATCAGATGCAAAACGACCTCTAAGTAATGAAAAAGGCTGGCTTTACTTTCACATACTAGAAGTTATATCTCCAGTGATAGTGAAAAATTCCACACCTTGTCAGTGGTTGTATCTGTCTACAAATCATTTGCACCCTTCCAAAAATGGCCCTCTTGTTGAACCTGCAATTGTTCCTTTAAGCAATTTTAAATTTAAGTGCATGAATTAAAAAACTTGGGCGTTGAGGTTCCTAATTTTTCAAACCGATGTTTGGTGGGAAACGCAAATGCATTACCATTTCTACGGAACAAGTCGCCACATGTTCCAACCCCCAACCTGGAGGGCCAGGAGACTGTGTTCGTCTGACCTCTAACCATTGACCAACCTGGTATGAGAGACTCTGTGAGTGTCGCGGGACACTCTCCAGTATAGCGGATCGGATCGCTGAGGTGCGCAAACCGTCACACCACGGTAAGGTTCAGTCTCTTCGTGACAGTGTGATATTGCAGAATCGAGTATGGTTTACGTGTTGTGATATTGCAGAATCGAGTATAGTCTGGTTTACGTGATGAACCCATGTATTGGATTATGATAGCAACGACGCGCTTAAATTGGTTATTCACAGTCAGGATGCTGTAATTTCTTCACGTGAATTTGGTATGTTGTAATAAATGAGTGTTCAGGTTAAGTCACAATAATACTTGGTCGAGGCATACGTTTTTACATTTGTTAAATTCCATGGTCGCACGGGATGGATTTGGACAGTTAAGAACAAAGTTTGTCTGCATTCCCTTTTTCAGCAACACACCACTAACACGCCTGCCACTGAATGCAAACAACGAGAACCTTACGATGATTCCGCTCTACTGATAACCATTGGTGTTTTTGATCGGCACAAATATCCCGGATCGGCCTGTGACTCTTGCTCTCCACTAGTTTACCTACTGGGTCCGTTGAGCAATTTGGAGAAGTGTTGGAGTGACTGTTCGGAAATGGTCACCCAGATTTCCAGATCAGCTAACGCTAGAAAATTTGAAATTATGGGTGAGCAGCAAAATATGGGCAAATGTAGTGGGTGAGTTAGATTTCATATCACAATGTCCATTCATGGCACAACATATTTAGAGCCCTTCGTTCGGAAACTCATCAATGGTAGGGAACAGTGATATACTAGCCACAATCAAACTTTGATTAAAACGCTTTGACTGAGTGTGTTGTGATGTCTCGTTAAAATATAATACAATAACTTTATTCTTAGGTTCTGGTGAACATCAGTCTAAATGCTATCCTCGTTTCTAGAAAAACCTCCACAAACTCTGTCGAGACATTTTACCCAGTAGAGCAAAACATTATTTCGTTTCTTCGGACTGGTCAAATGTCGTTGCTCATAGGGTCAAATCATGTACTTCCACGCTTCCTGGACCAGTTCATTCTGTAAAAGGTGAACGACATGGCAGAATACAGCTGCACTGCAATTCCCAGAGCAGGTGCACACAGTGTGTGCTTCCAAATGGCGTCATTAAAGTAGGATGACATTTTCTAACACTTTTCAGCCGGTCAACTGTTTGGTGTATTGACCCATCACAAGAGTAGATTTGGTCCTTCGAATACACAAGTCAGAAAATAGTCCATTTTACCAATCCATTGATTGACTGAACGACTTTTCACTGATTATTCACAGTGGAATTTGGAACAATCCGGAACCATACTGTCTGCAATTCTGATTGAAAGAGAATGCAAATTTCAATGTGCAAACCTGTTGCCATGAGGGTCTACCGAGGATGATGAGAAATCTTTCCGCGTAACCACTGTATTACTAATTCTCCCTGTTTGGCCTGGTTTTTTAAAGTTTGATTTGCTTGTGGGCAACATGTGCTGTCCTATTAAATCATTGTTATCGCGAGGTAACTGTTACTACCGTGGTTTTCACGGATCCGAGAAACGTTGTCATATTGGGACTTTGCTGCATTGCAGAGCCTTCTCTTAATACGCTTGCCTATGAATTTTCAGCCTGTTCATTGATCTTAAGCTTTAAATTTGCTTTTGCTTGTACCAGGCTTTACGATGAACTAGGGAGATTTCCCAAGTCAGCTACGGCAAGCGAACTCTTTAGGTCTTCATCTCATCCACAGTCGTCTAGTATTTATGCTTTAAAAGCACAATTTACAATAGTACCGTGCTTCTATTGTAAGATGCTCGTGACGACCCTGCTAACGCATAAAATCAATCGTCCGATAAAAATACTGTGGCTGTGAGAATTCAGCCTGTCCTCTAGATACCCAATCCTGCAGTAGGACCACTGTGAACACTGAGTCTCTTGGTTTTACTGCTTTATTTCAAATGGAGTACTAGTCCGTACTTCGAGACCGTTCGGTAGTGTGTCTATGGTGGTAGTCTTAAATACCTGTAAAACACGCAGTGGATTTCCACTCGCCATGGTTAGCAGATTTATACTAGACCTCTGGATGGGTGTAGGCATAATTACCCGGTTGATTCTATGCTAGTGCAACTCACTTGTAGGGTAAAAAAGGGGTTATTATTTGGAAGGTTCTGCAGCAACTTTATAACCAGTCCAATGGGTTCTCAAGGGGTAAATATTTCCAGGTAGCAAATTTTTCTTCCCTTATATGGTCTTGCAGATCATCCGATCCGAGGTGGTTGAAGCAAAATAGTGATAATCTCACTGCCGAGAATATGCATATAACTGCTGCAGGTAGTTTTGAATGCCAATGAAAAGGCAATTTCGACTGATCGCTGCTACGATAGTCCGTGTACCGTAATGTGTTTCTCTAATACAGACAAACTAATAAATTTTTCATACTACATTGAGACTAGGATCATCTGTGATTCAAAACGTGGAGAGAACCAGCGGAAAAATTGATGACGCACCATCCTTCACTTCACATGGGATACGGAGGTTGAACAAACGCTCAATATTTATCGTATTGGTGCTTGTTAAATTCAAATCAAGTGTAGACGATTAATTTGCTTGGAAAAAGTTCACAGAACGCTTCTCGATTTCTCAGTGTTCGGATCATACTACAGCACACTCATGTCCCGTGTACTTTTTATGCAGTAGTTACTCCGCTGTTTGTGAGAGAAGTTATGTTTTATTTGACTCTTACCCCGAGGTGTACACTTGTTGATCAAAATAGTTGATCAAAGTATTACGCGCATGATACAAACCGTAGATCGAATTCGACATTTCATGTCTTATCACCCCCGAGCATACCTTATGTCTACTTCCAGTCACCATAAATTCGATCGGATATCGTGATCGTCGTGTAATCCGTGAACGATTGAACAATTGGTCGTAGCTATTATATCCCTTCTCAGTTGAGTCTTTGTCATATCATCTTATTTCTTGGGCTAAGTTTTGAATGTCAAAGTCGACAGACTATTAGCTGAGAACCGGGATATCACGATTAATTTGCATCCATCTTGCTCACAAGTGGCGGAGCATTGTAGACCGATTCAATACTATCAACAACATTCAAAAACCTTGATCCACAACAAATAAGAAAAAACAACTGAAGGGAAACAAATGATATACTTGGTAAAAAACCATGTGTTATACCCGTCCCATTGCTTGAATTCCTCAAATTACTGAGTCACATTGGTGAAGCCTAAATGGTGAAATATTAGTAGTTTTGTACTATTTTCGAGTGCTTGGGTACTATTCTACGACAGATTGCGATTGGCTACGAGGAGTTTACCTTGAGAACTAATCTTTGCGCCACTGGTTTATGTTGTCTGAATTAACATCACTTCGGATGGCTGCATGGACCGGTCAGCCGAATTCAAACGACCAGACGATAACTACTCTGTCAGTCTAATTGAGTAGTGAACTGATTACATTTTCTTCTCTCATTCCTGGGCAATAAAAATAAATCTGGCTGCCCTCCTGTAATGACCCGCTTTTTAATAAAATTGCGTAGATGGACGCGGGAGTCAAAAGTACCGGGCTATTCGTCCCTATTCGTCCCCTTCCAGTACGACCGAAGTTGCCCTTTTCTTAAGGTAATACTACAAAAGATGAACTGTATCTTCAAGTGCAGTATGTGCGTTTGCTGGAAGCTGTCTGATAAGTCCACTCAACTGGTTCATGGATAGTATGTATTCTAGCTGAACACCGATTATGTACAGACGTTGACAAGGCTACCTTGACAACGATGCACCTCTTGAAGCATGGCCGTTGACACGAAGCAGTAAATGACCAATGAGAAGTAGACGGTAGTGTAATTCACCACTTACTGGTGAAGTAGGTGTACCTGTGTGACCAATGATGCGACACAGCCACGTAGCTGCAAGACCACCGGCTCGAGCTGTTCCCAATTTGTGAAGACGCAATTCGAATTCAGTATCAGTAGGCACCTGTTGAGAAGTAGTAGCTGGAAGAATTTGATGTTATGCAAAACTCTAAAACTAATTGCACAGAAATCAATCTTGCTGAATATGTTCAATTTTTACCTTCCAGGTGATTAAATGAGAATATTCCTTGTAAACCATCCTCGAACGCTGCAGTTAGCTTGGTATTTGCTTCCCCAGGTAACGACGGTTGACAACAACCTGATAAGGGTTGTGGTACAGGTAGTCGAGGATATATTTACTGACAGAGGCGATTGATGCATTTCTTCAGGATGAAAATCAATTTTTCTACACCCAGAGAGGAAACACCCTGTCATAGTGGAAGACAGTGAACTTTCGATTATGGACGTTACACTTGTAGGCCTATAAACCTCTGTACATTACAGACAATTGGTCACACTTGAATTTCTACCACATATGAAGCATGTTAAAAAACGATATTAGCAAACACATAAGCCTTAGCATTTGTAACTTCGAAATAATTTTTCACTTATCGACTTCTGTTTGGTTAGAAACCCGAAGAACTGTGTCGACCAAGAGTATAGCAGGCATATCCATCCGACAATCTTCGTTGCGCAAGCATACGATGAATATGGCCTACCATTCATGGAATGTTGCAGTGGTGATCAGTTTCGTAAACCAAAAGACTTGAACGGAAAAGGAAGCATCGACGAAACTAGGAACGTCCAGCCTCTCGAGTTACCGGAGATTGTTCCGTTACTTTCACCATGGAGTCAGGTAAGCGTGTAACTTTCGTAGTGCTTCTGAACTTTTTTTTCAAATTTCTTTTACGATTTATTTTTTCTTGTGATATCTGGGAGCGATGTCCTTCAAAGTTGATCTGTAACAGCCAACAACTCAGTAAACGTACTCAGCGTGAGGCAGTTCTTCACTGGACAATGAGAGGATAACCTGCTGACAAGCCTGAAAAGATCCAAACGATTAATTCAGTCTGTGACTTCATCAAAATCATGCGGCGCGATCTGCACTCTACGGGTCGCTACTCTTCTCCATAATGATTCTGTTAGCGTTTTCATTTAAAGAGCCAAATCCTGTTTTTCATTAAAAATGAAGTTTTTTCAAGCTTGTATGCCTACTCGAACACCTCCGGTTATCAAACCAACTCATTTGATCGCAACTCAAACATCCGTTGGTCATATGATCGTTCCATAAGTCACAATTTTCCCTTTTGGCTGTGTGGACTGGCAATTGTTGTAGACAGGGACCATAATTATGCATACACACTACTTAATAATTACATTTGTTTATCCACCTGAGGCCAAATATGTGTGAATTTTGGAAAGTCAGTTCAGTCAGCACGATAACTAAGTCACCCAACACTATGGCGTCGAGTGAAATTCGCTCCTTAGGATGATGAACTGTCCATTTCGGCAAACGAACTAGTATTTCCGGCACAGATGAGGCCGTGGAGGTAGGCGTAGCTGAATCTTAAGACTGAGGAAGTCACCCACACAAACCTGGATTTAGTGGTCAATTGAGATGACGTTGTTCAAGCTTAGGGCATCAGTTCCATTACGGCAGTAAAAAAACAACTTTTCGCACATTCCTTGTACACTTACCAAAATAATCCAGGATATTTCATAGCTATTTTGCAAAGGTGATCATATTTGCTCAGCGGAGCCACGTCATATTTGACCACAACAAATTAAACCTTTTGACCACTTGTAGGAAATTCAGGCTTGCTCGTGTTTTGTGAATGCAAATTATTTCACCATTAATGGATGTCAAATTACCAGAGTGACAACATCGACTGACACCTAAAATGTCAAACAAGTGTCAGAATAAGTATACACCAAGCAGCAAGTTTTGCGTGAAGTCCACAAAAGTGACTTTGTAATTCACCGCTATTCAATACCGATCAGTTTTTTGGACTTATTTTAGTTATTCCTTGGAATACAATACAATTCCACTCACAGACCATTTTCGCAGGACATTTTGCTTGCATGCTTCTCTAAACAACGGCCATCCAACTGGTTCGATCACCTTTTGAATGGACGTCTGCAAACAATTTGTTATCAGCAACGGGTTTGAGAGACAATGCTTAGAACTGTCATCCGTAGCGTGCAGCCAAACATCTTTACTCCTTTTTCATAAATGAGCAAATCACATAAAGCAGCCAGAGCCACCGAAAATTCTCCACTGTTCGTATCTGCCAATGAGGACATTTTGACTCACACCAGTATTCACTGGGACTATGTAAAATCGCCCTGGTGAGGCTAACACGTCATCTTCGCCCGTTTCAGATAACGCCATCATTAAATAAGTTTCACCACAGAGGCTTCCAGTTTGTGATTAAACATTTTACGCGACACACCGACCTGTGTAGCGGCAAATTTTCGACATCTGGTGTTGTAATGATCGTTCTAATCGTCATCCGTAAACAGATTTTTCAGTTGAAACAAAACGAAGAAAGGCTACGAAGAGTATAAAAAGCAGTCGCCAACTACCAAATTATCATCGCAAATATAGGATAATTTATTCAGTTCCAAGTGAAGTTACTAAATGTGTCGCATTAACTCTGCGTCTACCATTATTATTTTTCATCCATCTAGATGTTTCTCGTTTTGTTGAGCTTGCTGTCTACACGGAACAGATCGAGTTTATTGGCGCAAAGTCCTTCTAAGCCAGTGTTTTGTCTTCCCTGGGGAGAACAGTTGTCAACTTCTTACTTAGCTGCCCTGTCACTTCAACCGTATCTGGAAAATGACTTCATTTCTTGGCCTGAGGAATGCAAAGTAAGCGATATGTTTTTAATTTGTTTGACACAGTTGCGCAGGACTATTTAATATTTACTATTGATTAGTACTATAGTTTTTTCATAAAGGAAACCACTCACAAATCTGCTGATAACTCTTTGACAGTCCGCTATCAGGTAGGCGTTATCAGGTAGGCGCATTCCCCGAGTGTATGTCAACCTTATGATATATTTAAACCTGAGTTGGACAGATTTTGACAAAAAGCACTCATTTGCATACCTATTTGACTTTCATGAGAGACTCAGCTTAATCTCTCGTTAATGGTATTCTTCAACTAAATATGCTGCACGAAAATCGCTTCATGTGGTACTATAGTTTCATTCCGCATGGTTAATCAATATAGACCATGTACATTAGTTTATTCCTCAACCAGACCGACTAGGGTTTCCTGGGTACTCTGTTCACTTGATGATGCAAGTGCCAAAGCATCCATTTCTCAAAGTGCCACCGCTCACTTGTCTGAATGGACTTGCTTATTGTTCTCATAGTCAGGGACACCGCATATGTACCACTAGCTGAGAAGCAGAAAGTCCGTAGCTTTCCTCTGACGCAAACTCCACCACTCACAGAAAGGCACATGTAAACCGTTTTATGCTACCTCATATTGAGTACACTAGGACAATAACTAACATGCTAAGGTGGGGAATACATGGATAGTTATGTGCTAAACTAATGCACTCCTTGGTTTGTGAGTTGACCATTCTTTCGAGCAAGACCGAACAGAATACACCTCGATGGAAACAATTTCATTTTCCCCTTGTTAGACTCCAGGAATTGAGTTAAGATTTTAAAACGATCATCTTTCATGTAAATGAGTCGGCCTGGGTGAATTCATGGTCTGTCTGGTCTCAACATGTCACCGACACTTCCCGCAGTGTGCAGTAATTTAGATTACGCCGTAAAGCAAATCATGAGAACTGCGGTTGACTGCGTGCTGGATGGAGCTCGTCATCCTCCACTTTTGTCAGTTACTATAGTTGCTTAGGAGCTATTATTTTGCTGTGTGGACACGGCGATCCGTAGTTTCAGCCCGGGCTACAGTGATTCACTTTTTTTCATTAACTGGCCGGTCCGATTGTTCAGTCGTTCTAAAACGGCCATTGAATAATTCCCATTAATTTACAAGAAACGCTGTTCCTCGTTTACGTAGTTCATTCATCCTTTTGGCAACCTGGCACAGTTCGTGGCTGCGTTCGTATGTGCTCCTCTCCAACAATATCAACTGACTGCGGTGAAATGTCACCTCGGTCACCTACGTTACCAGCAAGTGTCATGTGATGAGCTGTATCCAAACCACGCGTCGCTGTAGGCTTGGTGGAACAAGAATGAGGCAATGACAGGTTCGTTAGCAACATGGTTTGTTTTTGAAGGCCGGCCCGTTCAGAATATTTTGCCGCAGGCTTAATGCAGTGACGCGGAAAGTCCCGTGGGGCCCGAAAATGTGTCCAAATATCTACTAATGAGCTGAGCTCATTTCTCAAAAGTTTCTGTCATCCCTTGTACAAACCTTTCCCCTGGAAATCCTAATCAGTTGGGAATGAAACCGGAGCAGCTTTGAATTCATACCTTGATTTAAATTTTTCCGACTTTTTTCTTTTTTGTAGCCAAAATGCTCACGGTTTGAGATTCTCTGTGCCGACATTCGTGAGTCACCAGAACGATACTTTGAGCAGTTATCCGTATCCTGGACTGTACTAATGAAATATCAAAAGCGTTTCGCGCAGCACGGTGATCAAGGCTTACGGAGACGGGTTGAAACCGTTTACAAACAAACGACTAAGGAGCTGAGAAATTCACTGGTTCGTGTTTTCCTACACTGTTGTTCCCCTTAATTTCTAGTTAATGTGGAGCATTTGTTCATGTGCCGTTAATCTTTATTCCAATTACCTTTTACTGCGGCCCTGCATCTTATGTTGCCCTCCTTGATCCAACCAAGGGTATGATCTCACTGAAGGTATGCGCTGAAATCAAGTGTCAGTTTCGTCTTTCAATGGTCACTAGTCAAATTTGTGTAACCAAAATCCCATTTTCTTGCTTGTTACCCGTTCAAATCACTTTCTATGGGCCCAAGGAAATTAACCCTTTCCCCACCGGCTCATTCCTTTGTTCTGCTTGAACAGTACTTGCTTGTTATTTGATTTTAAGTCCAATAAACTTTAGTTTTTCGTATGTTGTTGCAAGTCCCGATCTAACTACCTTGTCGCTCATCACGTCTGTCGTGGGGCAAGCTTGTCAAATGGGGAAACACAACTGCATCATAGACAAGCAGCGATGTTTTCTCAACACCAAAAATGTATTCCACCGATGACTTCAGCATAAGTGACTTTTTTGTTTTGTGTAGCGTTTAGATTGTCTTAATCTGTTCTCTTGGAATCGACACCAGCCTTTGCTGGCGAAACCGCAGTTTCAGTTCAGCCAAATAATGACTGCGGCTCACTTATGTGAGACCCTTAAATCCACTTGGATAGGTGACCTCAGCCCTAACTTTCAGTGATTTCCACGCCATGTTTCAAATTTTTTAAAGTTACTATCGAGTAGTGAGCAATCTATTCTCAAAACATACGTAGCGTTGTTTGCTTCCGTCAGCTCTTCGTGTCCATTATATAGGAGTAAAACTCCGCTCGCTTTGGTCTGTCGCTGGCCTACAAGCCATGTCACTGATCCATATTGTTGCATATTTACGCAACATCTTAATATTGCCCTCAACTGCTTACGCTCTTTTTTGCCGCTTCGAGGTTGCACGGGATTTGCGCACCATAGAAATGAACTATAAAACGAATCTGTATCTCTTTTCATGAAAATAAGAAATGGAATAAACATGACCGCATGCACATCGTGAAGCTTCTGATATAGCGCTCTGCATTAGACAGCCAAATGTTCAACAGGGGAGACCTTCTGCTCACTAAACCGCCTGATGCAGTCAGGCTCAGTTTCACAGAGAAAACCGACTTGATGGCAGGAAAGCTGAGTAAACTGTGATCACAAGACTATCTATTCGTTTGAGCAGAGCTTGTCCTAATTTTGATTCAGCCACTAATCAGCCTTCCTTCTCATCAATCCAAGAGGGATTTAGATAGCAAAACCATTATATGGAGGCACCCCTGTAAACTGGTGTGCTGGTCTTTGTGATTAGAAATTTGTTATAAGTCGCGTAATTCACGGTATGTACGATGGTACCTTAGCCTTCTCATCAATACGTGTTCAGCATTTTCCACACAGCCTTTTTAGAACAATCTTGTTCTCTGGCTCACTGAAGCTATGAGTTATTGTTCGGTCCACTTTGAACTTTACCGAGTGATTCTCTGACCTGAGCAGTATTTGCTCCTAAGATCAAAACGTGTTCCATTTACAAATTATGCGCACGTCATTGGAAAGTGTTACAAACACTGTACGGAATATTCATTTACATACATTTCCCATGACCCGTTGCACGTTGCACTTACTCGGTACGTTTTACTATAGGATTTCAAACTGTTAAGAGGTCATGACTCACTCTCAGCTGCTTACAAACTCCCCAGAGGAACGGACAATTCATCATCCCGGTTACCATCTATCTTTACGGAAGACCTGGTAACCAAAAACTTCAGAATTCAAACAAATATCACTGAGAGGATTTTGATCGGACTCATGAAAACTCAGCCACTGGAAGCTCTTCAATGTTGTTGGAACACACCAGTTGGGCGTGTTCACCATCCAGTTGGTGACTCTTAGATCAGTATTTTGTGATGACAATCGAAAACGTTCAATGACCAATCTCTCCAAGTCTAAGTGATGGCCCTCCGAAGGGACCCTTTGACTGCGCATTTTGATATTTCTCTATACGGCGTATTAACAACCGTTCATATTCTTCCTTTGTTTTCTCTAATTTACAGAGAAAGGAAGAATACCAGCGAGCAAAAAAGGAAGCACTCCGTCGACTAAAATATCCTAAATCATTCCTGAACTTTAAGCAGCTGCTACATCCTTGTATTGGGTTTTTCCCCAGCAGATTAAATCTTTTTAACTTATTTGAACAATTATCATCGTATCAGTTTAACGACGCTGAAATATGGCAGCAGTTGTGTATTAGAGCCTTTAGTCCTACTACACACTGACCGTCCATTATTTTTCTTTCTTTAATTTTATATGCGTCTATCGAATTACTGTGATATGTCCCATTTATCTATCAACGCTGACCGTCTTGTTTAACCCTCGTTATGAAGGGAGCAACCGATCCTACACGCGGTGGCCTCCATCAGCGTATGACAGGCTCCAAAATTTTCAAGTCTCGTTGAATCTCGTTGTATCGTCCCTCACAATTCCAAACTAACGATATCATGTTCTTGATGTAATTTTGTCGACATTCAATAAGAACTTCTTAGGAACCAATTGCTCATTCGGCTTCCCACTATAATGATGGAACTACGTCAGTACTTCCCTTAGAATGGCCATTCTGTTGTACTGAGTTGGAACTTCCGCTTTGTTCACATCAAAATGAAAAACATTGGGCTCGGGTTTAGCCATTAGCATAGTTCACCAGCAACGCGAATCCGAGGCTGCACAGATATGTGAGCATTCGTCTTGCTATATGCGTGGCAAGACGACCCCAAAGTCATTGATTTGAGAATTGAGTTAAGGTCACGAAAATAAGAGTTGCAGCTTACAGTGAAACTGCTTTCCTCATTTTCTATTAACTTTTCGGTCTGTTGAAATCAGTCATCTTTGGTTGAGTCTACTGGTTTTCTTTACACATTACGCCAGAGATGGTCTCTGCACTGGTTAGAAGCGGAATCATCAGTATGATACATCTGTATCGTCTGAGAAACAAGAGTACCATTTTACATGCAAACACGTCGAAACCTGTATTGTCTGTACTGATGTCGATTCTTCTCTACCTAGTGTCAGCTTTCATTTTTCTGAATCAGGTCGACTGCACACCACCTTTATCCAGCTATTTCAGTTGCTGGTGGTTGCTTGACTTTGGACTCTCGTTTAAACAATAGTCCCCCTGTTTTGATGCAATCATTCTGGTGAGTCCTTACCAAAGGAGGAGCACTGAACTGGAGTTTTGATCCTAATATCAGCAGTGCGTATCCAATGGCCGTGCTGGGGTTTGAACTCCGCACATCTGACGTACGAGGAAAGCGTGTTACCACTGGGCCACCAGAGCACGCTGGACTCATCCGAATTTTAACCTCTGAACAGGTGAACATGGCGCCTGAGTGATGTGAGAGGAACGCCCGGCGTCTTCAACGACATCGGGACTTTAGTCAGGATCTCACAGTCAGGTGGCGCCACAGACGCTTGAAACCCGCTGAACACATTTTTCTTTCAATTGTGATGCTTGCGGGGACGTCGTGGAATAACTCGCCGTTCGATCGTTCGTCTAAATACCGTTGTTGATCCGGCTACTGGTCGCGCTAATCACATGTCTGTTGTATGCACCTGTACGTCTGCGTTACCCTTCGCTACCTTACGTGCTTCAAATTGTGACGCGAAAAGGCGTCGACAACGAAAACAACAACCAAGTTGAATCAGTGTGCACCTGATGTAAAAATGAGATGTTTGAGCGTCCGTAGGACAACCGAAAAGTAGGAGGACGGAGCTTACGGATGCGAGTATGCTGCAAGCGATAGCATGAGACACAGGTGAGAAAGCTGAGAAAAAACATGCATAGGGAATTCACTCTGAGAAGAATTTTAGGTTTCTAGCTAGGTGGGCGACAACTATGAGTGGTATACTAAAAGCCAAATGAATAACTTTCTGTGCTTGCTGTATCGGACAAATTTTTGGAGGAGAGGAGACACTTTCGGTGGTGATCTCCGAAATACGAATTGGGGTGATGGTGAACATATTGATCTATCTACACACACGAAATAAGCTTACAGAAATATAGAGTGGTGTAATGAAAATTCTTTATCCACAGATATCCACATGAGGCTGAGCCATGATTGTCCCGTTCGATGGACCGTCCTAAACTGCGTCGAAATTCTATAAGTGGAAAGTTTGTGAATTCTACGCAACGCTTTCAGTTAGTGGAAAAGCGATCCAAACAAGCCAAGTCTTATATTAGCAATGTACTACTAATAAGGCTGCTGAAAATTCGTCGAAAACCCATGACCGGTTTCGCCCTTCCTGGGGCTCATCGGATAGAAGCGGTCCCCGAGTTTCCGTCAACCTTATGTTCTACTTGAAACCAAATTGCACGAAATTATCGGATATACACTCATCTGCAAACTAATTTGGTTTTTCGAGAAACTTACCTGGAACCCAGCTGAATCTCTCGTTTGTGATGTTTCCAGCGTGGGATTTTATATGGTTGTGGCCTTCAATGAAAGCATTTGTGAAAGCAATTCGACAGCTGTTGGTCGCGATTCTCGCTCGAAAGTATCAGCTGCATTCACATGCATACGAGCGTTTGATCTGGCAATGTGTATTCGTTGACAAATGGCGTTTTTTTTTTGTGCCAGACTAAACGACTATCTTCATTCGACTTAAGATCACCAGAACAGATGTCTCGATACTCAAGGCGCGGAAGTACCGACAGTAATTTCCATGGATCGAACACAACTGTGGCATCTCCCCTGCTCCTTTCAAGGCTTGGATAGCCTGACAGACTTCGTGCCTCCTTCGGTTGGCATAGAGGCCACGTACGGGAAGGGTGATACAGCTAAACGACTGTACTTTATTATTATTTTCCTAGGACAGATCAGATGTAGTTCTTTACAACATTCCACCCGGACTTCTGTGAACATTCATTTGATGTAACCTTTCTCCAGCCTGCTTTCAGAATCACGTCATAGGAAGTAACGGATCAATAAGATGCAGAACAAAATGTAGCTACTCGGGTTTAGAGGGCAAACCTGTAGCTGTACAAGCTCCTATCCTAATAACTTGATTAGTTCTGCTGCTGAAGTGAACCAAGTGACAATCACTCTATTAAATATGGTTGCTCGGTAGCCGTGCCGGTTTCATTGAATGATTCTAATGAAGCTATCGAATAAAATCAGCCCGCATATTGCAGTCATCTCTCTGTATGAACGTATACACCGGTGTTTGAAAGACCCATGTGCACTTTTTAATGACTAGTGAACTTTTCACTTCACACTTGACAGAAAATAGTCTCTGGAGGTGGTTAACTTCAGTAAAGTGTATACGCGTAATGCAGGAATACCAGACTTATCCAAAGCACCGATGCGGGCAATTTTTTCGCTTTGTAGAGGATTTAATTAATCGTTCCTCGCACTTTTGTAGAGATTCCGCTTGTAAACAAATTTGAGTTATCATATTCCACAAGCCTGGAGAGCACCAGACATTCAATTCACTGCATTAGGATAGTCGTCTCCTGGTTACCTGTTCTGCGAACCACCAGCCCTCAGGTTAATACTTCCAACTGAATTTAGGTGAAAATAGAAGGCAGATAGAAGTGGTACGCGGAAATATCCATAAATCTCCGCAGCTTAATCGTAACCACTGCAAATCGTGGGTTGTAACTGTCAGAAGTCCCGGACAAATTGTATCACAAAATTTGGACTGGAAATTATTCAGTTTACAAGATATCTGGTTGTACTTTCAGCTTTCCTAATGAGTGCAGTGTATTTGCCTGGGATATGAAATTGACACTTCGGTTAAGAAATGTTAATCGATTATCACTGGCCGACAACAGAAGTAGATTCCAAGTTGAGAAATTCTGCACCGCCAATTACGATGTGCAAAAATCAGATATACTTTTCGGGATGCAGTCTTCAAAAGAGATTCGTCTCTCTATGAAACCCTGAATTCTTTAATTCAGGTGAGAATGCAGTTTGTGAAGTTTCCTGTTATGAAACGGGGAGTTTCGGAACACTCACGGATTTATCAGGTTGGTTTAGCGGAATATTACACCATGTTCGGCTACTTGAAATACTGAGTAGCAGTGTCCCCAGGGCATCTAGACATACAATCTGCCGCTCGTTCACTCTGCCACTACCTGACTTTCTGACAGCAAAAGCTGTTACCCAAGCCATTAAAGAGCACTATCATGTGCCCTGTTATTGGAGGTCTCCTGTGAACCTTGAACACTCAGCGAGCAGGGACAGTAAATCTACCCCCCGCCGGTAACAGTCCGGTCGCAGTCTGTCCTACACACTTGTCATCTTGGAAGTGAACTCCAGCACATCGTTACTCCCCCGGGACTCCAAAGTTGAAACAAGCGCTCAACTTTTTCTAATCTTCTTACGCCAACTCAGAGGTTCATTGTCTGTTAAAGATTGGATTCAGTTTCCAGTCAACGATGCCATCGACAGGCGTTTTCACGTATCAGACAACATAGTCTTACTACTGTGCCTCGTTATTTTCCCGGAGGAAAAAGCCACGCACAACATCCACTTCTCGGTTCAATTTCCCTGCAAACTTGCTCTCAGCTAATTCCATCTCCACATAAACTGGTAGTTGTCCACATTCAATGTTCAGCGACGATGAACCGGGCATCATTCATCCACCCGAGTGCTTTGATGCATCCCTACCGTCGAACATCATTAGCCTGCCATTTGATCTTTGCAGAGCTGTCACCCGTCGAATACCAGGCGTCTGCAGGCTTGGTGTCCTACGCATGTTGCCTTCAACCCGACATGGCTTAATGAAAGCACGCACCTCCAGGGTAGCATTTGCATTTTAGCTCAATTTTATTCGCACCAAGACAGCGATAAAGGTATTCGTGCTTTAGGTAATACATTTTCCATGACAATGTCATATTAGGTAAAAAAAAACTTCCGGCTTCAATGGAATTTCGTTTCGTGCGTCGCGTTCCTGAACAGCGCTTTGTTATGACGGGTTACCTAGTGTAAAGGATGTTTTCACATAAGCCCAGGCGAGTCTCTCGAAAAACCAAATTAGTTTGCAAGTGAGTGTATATTCGCTAATTTTCTGCAATTTGGTTTCAAGTAGAACATAAGGTTGACGGAAACTCGGGGACTGCGTCTATCCGATGACAGGAAGGAAGGGCGAAACCAGTCGTGGGTTGTCGGCGAATTTTCAGCAAGCTTATGAGTAGTGCTTTGCGAATCCCTAGATTTCATCATTTATTAGTGACCTAATCCGTCAAAAGTTATTTACACTTGATGTCCTGATGACATTCTGGTTCGCCCTGATTTTCATTGTGACGATCTGAACACGAAGCGAATGACGCGTAAGCGTGACTTTCCACCTTCGTTATTTCTGGGACACTACAGAGCCTAGGTGCATCAACTTCATTAAGGCCGTGCACCTTGTGATTACCGAACTACTGACGCTTTCATCCCCTCATCTGTAATTACTGATGTCCTGGCAGACCTCCTGTCGTTTCTTTCGTAAAACGGACAAATTTAATGGAAAGATTCAGAAGTGTAAATAGCAAATAGGAAAAATCATAGAGTCCGTAATTGCGTAAAAAGTTGACCAGGGCTCAGACGAAGAAACACACATACACAATTTTCAAGAGCAGGGTCCGGCAGTCTATTCGAAGGCACCATCACTGGGATTTGAAGCCGCGTCGTCGAAACGGAAGTTTGCGGTTTCAACCACTGGATTACCTGGACCCATTGTTGAACCTATTATATACTCATACGTGTTGTCGAAGTTGACGTTTAAAACTCCTCTTTCATTATTTGCTTCTTTAATTCGTTCAGCGTTGACAGACGAAGATCCTGCATGTTAGGCAATCCAACTGCTTCATCAGAGAGTTTCTGTAGCAGCCCGTTCGGGTATTATCACACACGTGGTGTGGAATCAGGTGATGCAGTTTTCTTTTGGCTATTTATTTGAGCACCTCACCACAACTGAACCCAAATATCCAGGTAGATGAACTACTTAAAGTATTGAATGGGATAACAAAATAACCAGACGACCCCACACTGAGGGTTATCGAACCAAACGACCGGGTCAGATTGGATGCGGTAGTCTAGAAATCGCGACAGAAGTTTCCAGCATATAAATGGAATGTGGTTGCAATAGGAAACAGTGCACCATGGAAACTGAGCAGATGAACACATCTTGCACCTTGGTATTATATCCCTCTGGTACCGAAAAAGCTATTCGTAGCATCGTGCTGTTCCTTGGCCCACTTTCTACGTAGGTAAGCCGGTTGACGTTGCACATCTACGGCATCTTCCATGTCTTCAAGCAAATGGATGGTTTTCAGTCTACTAAGGTGTCGTCTCTTATCTGGATAAGTTACATGAGGCTCTCGATCGCTGACAGCTGCATATAGGCTTTCCTCACTACGAAAAACGTCTGCCAGAATCAGTAACAGACACGATCCAAACAAAGTTGCACATTATTGCGAAGCAATCTAAGAAAACATGACCACAGTGATATCATCTCACGTCTTAACTCGAAAGAAAAATAGCCGGCGGTTGTCTCGTGTGGTCGTTGCATAAAGCCGAAAAAAAAACTCACGTTTAGTCGACAACTAACCAGACCACTCATGGGCGAAAACCTTATTAGGCTTCATTTTACCGATGTCGCATAACAGGTGTGCAAACTGTCGTAAATTGTGAAGGAGAAACTGCTGTAGGGATCAAAATGACATAAACGGGAGTTTATTTTTATGGATACAGTGAATGTTGTAACAGGAAGTTATATTTATAGTATCGCTCAAAGTCACAGCCAAACTCAACCAGCGAACGCAAGTCTATCAAACCAGCCCATCAGGGTTGCTCGTGTACACTGTCATCAACGGTAAGAATTGTCATCAGTATGAAATTCACACTGAGTGCCTGGCTGAAAACATACGATTTGTAGAGCTGCAATCAAGAGGAACTTGATTTTTCTTTAGGTGTAAACGGGAAAAACAAATCGGTGGATGTGAACTTTGAGTAATCGTAAACATTCTCAAGGACCAGTTTATCGATGAAGCCTGTCTTTCACCCGGTTTTCCAACATCCTATGAGTCAGTGCAGTCACGAGTGTGCCCGCGCGTCCTACTATTGTGCGATCAGTTATCGACGGGTAAATCTGCTGATGACTGGGCACGGCTGATTGAACCCTTTTTCAGGAAACTGCCGCCATGACATAAATAAGACTGCAGAGAAGTGGATTTGCTTGTCACTAAACCCTGTTGCACTGAAATGGATAAACAAGTAAGAGAAATATTTCTCTAACTTATAACCTCTTTGCTTGTGCAACTATGCAAATCAAGGCAGAAGTCTCTGGTTGAAGGGCCTCGAACTGACGGGCCAGTTGCCACATAATTAAGTATCATTCATAAATCTGACCTATATGAGCCAAAGCCATAATGAAGGCGATCACCGTTAGCTTCTCTACGGCCAAGACAAAATAGCTTGCGACCAATATACACTCATTTGCAAACTATTTTGGTTCTTTCGAGAGACTCACCTGGAACCCAGCTGAATCTCTCATTTATGATGTTCTCAGGCAACTGAATGTGCTGCACCAGG